GGATATTTGCCTTTCATATTCTCTCAGCAAGGAAAGGTAAATCACTTTAAGCTTGACTGGCTGAAAGCGAAGTTGTTAAACATTGTGCTAACTCCTTTTACTTAGTGGCTCTGAGATGAGAAAGGTTTCATTGCAGTTCGATGAGGTAATTAACAGGACAAGTAGTTTTAGTTTCAATTTCTCTGGTCAGATACCTTCTGCTTGGAGGCCCTTTGGCAACGGTGTGCGTTGTCCGGGGTGTGCCTGGGCTATCTTTGCCTCTCGAGGAATTTCTAGTCAGCCCGGCTAGAGTTCACACTGACTTATAAGATGGATTACCTTGAAGTGTTAAAATATATTTATAGATTATACACACAGGATCAAAGTTCTGAACACTTAGACAGAGTTGTCTATAATAAACATATCTGAATCATTTGCTGACCGTGCAACAATGTTTATTACTTGAAATACTCTTTTAAGGAGAAAAATCATGCTGTAGTCTCAGTGTGGACAGAGAAACGGCAAAGATGAGTGTGAGAAAGAAAAATAGAAGATGATGCTTCCTGCTAACAGGGTTTCTGTCGCTATCCCTTCCCACTACTAGACACACGTTGTTTAACTCCCCTTAATTTTCAGTGTGCAGGGATGATGGCATAGCTGTGCAGACCGATTTGAGAGCATGGAAGTGAGCATGTCGTGTTACTCCTTACTGAGTGTATTCACAGTTCTGGCTGCTAACGCAAGTCTTTCTTTGGATTTTGCAGAGATTTTTGTTTAAAATGCTTCTGGAGTGTGGCTATTACCTCCGCGGTGCCGGCAGTTTCCTGGCAGTTCTCACTGCGAGAGGTGCTCGGTGCAAACCTGCTGCTCTCTCCTGTCTTCGGTTGGCTAAAGAAGGAAACTGGGGGCACGTTGAATGCCACAGAATTAGGTGCAAAAAGAAGTTAAATTCTCTTATGAATTATTCTGCCAACTACTGATCTAAAAGAAGCCCCTGGATTTCTCTGGCAGTAGTCACCAGCCGAGTGATGGCTCCTCAGAGACTTGAAATAAGATGGCAGCAAAGTCACTCATTTCACGTTTCCCCAGGGTGTGCTCCCACAACGGCATGGCTCCACCGATGCCGTTTTAGTACCAGGGTCACAGAAGTGACTCTGAATGTGCAATAAAGTCTTTGTTTTTTGGCAACAATCTCAGTAACTCTTCCCAGTCCCTTGAGCAATAGTTTCACTGTTGCCTTAAAAAAAAAAACCAACAAAAAACCCAACAGAACAAATGCCCGTGTATAAAATCCTTATGATGCTCTTCTCAAATCACTGTCCGTGCTCGCTCTCTAGGCTGGAGTTTTGCTCCCATCAGCACAACAGGACCCTCCCTCTTTTTCCTTCACATGTCGTCCATTTTAAACATTCCTAACAGAGCAGAGGCAAAATTAAGATTTGCTGTCTTCTATTAAACAGCTGCTCGTCTGCAGTATGTCCCCAGTAGCATGATCAGCCTTACAAGACTTAAAGAAATAACAAGTTTTGAGCAGCTGAGCTACTGAGCAGTTACTGTCCCCTTCTTTTGCAAGAAAAACTATCCGTTTTTGAGGACGGTGTTTTTTAAGCGAGTATGAGCACCAAAAATCTGTAAAAATCATGGACCATTGCTGAGGAGAAAGTCTAGAAGGAGTTTTAGGAGCAGTGAAGCTGGATAGGAGTGTACTCTGCCTCTTGGAGTTGCAGGTCTTGCCTCGCTGGTAGCTGGTATGAGTGGAGCAGGCAGGAGCCGCTGCTTTTCATCTCCTCGGCAGATGAAACAGCAAGACTAGTCCCTACACGATCACCTCTTTTCTTGTCTTACTGTGGTCAGCTGCTTGAGAGAAATCTCTTTCCCCTGCATGACGGCTGCGGATTTGTCAGGCAGGTAGGACTAACTCTGCTTTTCTATCTTCCCTGGGAGGAAACGGTTGGCTTGAAAAGGGGGGTTAGAGTGTTTCTGCACAGTGTTACTGCATTTGTTAAAAAGTTGACTCCAGCCCTTTCTTAGAAGTTGGATTTTTTTAAACTAAGGGGGAAATTACTCGTTTAGTCTGTCCTGTGGCATGAACAGATCCCCTCCAACTCCATCCCATGGCTCCCACGTCAAGCCCATAGCACCTGGCTGAGCTGTAAGATCTTGCATTTTTATCTTCAGTTTCCTCCCCCTGCCATTTCCAAGAAGCATTTGGTAACTTTTCTTTTGTGTTGTGCTTTATGAGGAAACTATTTAGGACACACCAGAAAGAGGGAGTAATACCAGAGCGAGTGGTGGCAGAGGAGCCGTTGGAGGGTGCTGGGAAGGGTCTGGGCGGCAGGGTGCTCTTACCGTGTCCTGGCCTAGCTTGGGCAGGTGAGTGATTGTACACGGCAAGAAACTAATATGAATATTTAAGTGTCTAGGTTTCATCATTTTATATTCAGAGCATCTCAAGTGGATGCCATTAAGAAAAATTAGTGGATATGGGCATGAGACAAACTTAGAGAGAACCTCAATTTAAAAGCATTTCAGTTCCTGCACCTAGCGTGGTGGCAAATTGCAAAATCTGCAACAGCTTTTCTGTTTTTCAATTTTCATCAATAGATGCTGCTGCCATGGAGGTCATTAGCGCTCAGTCGATGGCACCAGTGCTAGATCTGGTCCAAGGAGTGTTGCAAGCCTATAGAGTGGTTTTAAGAGTCATAAAGGCTCGAAGGAGCCCAGGCATCTTGGATTCTTCTAGCCACAGTACTTCAATTTCTTTGGACAGTAACATTCACTAAGCTGATGGTTTTTCAGCAGATATATGGTGTTTAATAAAGAAACAAAACCTGAAATATCTTAGATTATCACCTGCTTGGAGGGAAAGAGGGAATTCGTTACAACTAAACAGTTAAGCTAAACAAAACATCAAACATCAAATCTCAAAATGCATCCCAAGTGCACAATTTTAATTAACACAAATGTGGTCCAACTTCTCGGCGTTCAGACTTATGGATGCAGGCTGCAATAGCCACATTAGCTATGGCTTGGTTAATTTTGTGGTTCGTAGTCGACTATTAGATATGCCAACGAATGGCATACCTAGGGTCTTAGGTCTACGAGTCTTGGACTTTTTGTTCTCTTTTCTACATATTTATAACACAAAAAGCCAGAACAATTTGAAAAGGTCTTTTCGACCTGCTGGGAGCCAGGCTTCTTCCTTTAAGAGAAGGGTGTGGGTGACGACTCTTGACTTTCTCCCCAGTTAAGCCACTGACTCGTTATACAGCCCAGGATCCAGCGTACACTTCACGTCACTACTGTTGTATCGATGAAGCCTCATGTTTCGTCCCTTGCCAATCTGTACCTCGGTTGTACCCATCTGTAAATTGGCCAGACTTTCCTACCTCGTTTGGGTATTATGAGGCTAAATTCTGTAGGATGCTTTGCAGCCCCGTGATGAAAGGTGCTATATAACTGCAAAGTGTTACTTCAAAAGATTTAAATAGGTCACCAGTGCATCATAACCTATATTAAAAAGACTTTTTCTTATATGAGAATTTATAGAGTTCAATGTATGGTATTAATAAGTGAATTATTGAGACCCCCAAAATAGTTTTTGTTTGAATCGTATCTGTATTCTGGAAAAGTGATTAAAAACCTTTAACCTTAATAAAGAGTACATCCTCATTTCCTGTATGATGTTGGAATCTAAGTTTAAAAGCAGAAACTCACAGATTTTAAGGGGCGGGGGGTGGTGTATTTTTTTTCTAAGCCAGCATTTAAACGGCGGCTTAATATCTTCACGGCAAGGCTTGGTCTTTCCCACGTGGCCGTACAGCATCTCACACCGAGTTTTGCTCCTCTTTGAAGCCTCTGGGATCGGCTGTAATCAGATCAATCGCCAACAGAGTTTGTTACACGCACCCCTGCCCCCCAAACTGAATGCAGGGGAAGTGGTGGCTGCTTGAGCGGTGCCCGACGCCGTCAGCGAGGAGAGTCCTCGGGACCGAACATCGCCTTTGCTCTGTCACCCTGAAATGCCACAATCGCCCAAGAGCCACAGTAACATGGAAACACCATCGCTCACCTGAGACCCTCATCGTACTGCGCTTGATGTGGCTTCCAGTAAGGGCAGGGAAAGTCTCATGGGTTTCCGAGTGCAGTCCCTAAGGCTCCTCTGTGTTAGGAGCCACCGGAGCTTTACTCAGTGCAGCTTTTAAGGCCCCGATCATGCAGCTGGGTTACACCTTGTTTTGCACCGTGCTGGTGCACCCACAGCCGGGCGAGTGCCTGTGCAGCCAGCGTAGCCTCACCAAGCCCAGGAACCAGAGATGGTCCTTGAAAACAGATACGGGAATCACAAGCAAAAAAAATTACACGAGTGCTGATTAAATGTTCCCAGCAGCCTGAAGAACGAGCATGCACACCCTGGTGCAGCCACAGTCACCAACAGACCTCACAGGCGCACCGTATGAGTGTCTGGGGGTGCAAGGGAGAGTATCTGTTTTAATGGAGGCTTAATATATTATTCTTACTATGCAGCTGAGACTTTCATGCCATCATTTGAGGTGAGCTGGGTTTGCACAGGGATGGCCGGTGTTCACTTCAGGAGACAGGGAAAATTGGAAATAGGATTGAGAACAATGGCGTGTGAACTGCAGAAGTGGTAGGGAAAGACTGTGTCCGCTTGTTGACCAACACTGTTGCTTGATGCATTTAAGTAATTAATTATAGAGAGTATAGTAATTGAAACCCAGCTGATTGCCAGGGAGAGCCTTGTTCACCCATGCTTGGGACACAGTATGGGACACGTGCCACATGTCAGTCCAGTCTATCATCCGTCACCACACACAATGTAAATTAAACATAGTTTATAACAAACCTATCTACAGCCTTGCCAGCGTCTCGGCTTTTTAGGGGAGAGAGTGCAGGACTGAAAAATCTGCCAGTTTGGGTCTGTTCCTGGACCACTGCAAATCCTGAGGCGCTTGGTGGGCACCTGGGCCCCGACCACACACCAACCACCACAACACCCCCACCTGCAAACCACTTTTATTGGTTTCAATATATTCATTGCTCAAGTGGATCCGCAGCTCTTAAGAGGGCGGCCGAGTCACTGGGGGGTCTGCGAGGGCTTCCCAGCGCCTGCTACGCTGCCTGGCAGAACCCTCGGGCTCAGGCACCTTCTCGGCTTCACTTGGGTTCGTCATCTGGAGTTGTCTTCCCCTTAAACAGTGTGGCACCAGCTGCCGCACCGAGCGGCCCCAGCATAGACGTCAGCCCAATTTTGGCACCAAGAGAGAAACCTGCAGCTCCTGCAAAGACAGAAAGAGGCGTGATGCCCCGGGATCATCGATGCTGCCTGCTGAGGGACCGAGCACCAGGCAGAGATAGCCAAGGACTTCTGGGCAGAGAGCCAAGGACCTCTCCAGACTGTGCCGGAGAGCCGGCCTGGGAGCGGGCTCTGCTCCCTGAGCACAGCGAGCCCCTTTCTGGCTCCGGCCAGTGCTGCCGACGAATGCAGGCGTTGTTCTTGGCAGAAGAGCAGATGCCTACCTGCACAGCCCCCGATGTCCTCAGCCTTGGGTGCCCTACCCCAGCAAGTCCTGACTCTTCTTACTACATTGTGGATTTATCCCTTCCCCACAGTTTTGGGTAATTCAGGCCAATGATGGGTTAAAGGGCTGGTTTGGCTCTACAGCAAGCCAAGTGTATAACCCCGTGCAACACCTCTGGGGATGAACCCAGCGCAGCTCAGCTCCCCTGCCCTCCCCACTCACCGATCGACTGCAGCACGGCCACAGCGCTGCCGGCAGCCACTCCTCCGTTGTTGGCTATGGCAGCTGCTGACATCATCTTGGCAGCCACAGACCCAGCGGTGATGCCGGCTGCCGTAAACCCCAGCGCGCAGATGCCTGCTGGGATGCCAACGAGTGCCACTCCTGCAGGCAGGCCATCATGGTGTCAGTGTGGTCTCTGCGACCCACATCTCCCCTGCCACCAGCATGCCGGATCCAGCCTCCCAGGAAGGACAGAGGCGTCAGAGCAGGGAGAGAGGGCTGCGGGTGCAGGGATGGGGACACCCCATCCTCGGGGAGGAGAGGAGAGGCGTGCAGGGCTGCAGCAGCAGGTGCAGACAGATTTCCAGGCACAGGCCAGCGCTGCCCCCTCCCTCACAGCTGCGCCCAAAGTCTCCCCGGCACTCGCAGCCCCCCAGCCCGGTCAGGTCCCCCACTGCCAGCCTGGGGACAGGACCGGGCAGCGAACCCAAGCGCTGCCGATCCAACGCCAGACCCTCACCTACTCCGACAGCGGCTCCAATGGTTGCTCCTTCGATTCTGTTTTTCATCGCTAAGAAGGAAAAAGGCAGGCAGGAGGGCGGGCAGGCGGGAAAGCTTCGCTCGGACGGGGCCGAGCGCCCTGCGCCGGGCAGGGCAGGAGCGGCTGTGCCGGCAGCAGCTCCCCCGGC